GAGCGCTGCGATCCCAGAGCTTCTCCTGGGACTTCACAGCATCGTGCTCCCGAGGATAAGGCTGGCCCTCCCCAGCACAGGAAGAGAGACATGACTGGGCTCCCTCCTCCTGCCCAGCCTCACTGTCCGCTGCTCCCTCCCCCACACCACACCCTCTGACCCCCACCTCCTGGGAGCCCTTCAGAGGTCGCGTCCTCACGAGCATGCTGGCTCGACGCCAGGCTTGGCACACGCCTCATGTCCTGGGCCGCCCTTTCTCTCCTTCCGACCTGGCCTGTTTCCACTTGTCTCTGAGGATGCAGCTCCTTCCCAAGTCCTCTGGGCAAACTTCCCTGATCCTCACGCCTGCCTTGGATGTCATCCCTCTTCCCTGATCCTCACGCCTGCCTTGGATGTCATCCCTCGGTGCTCCTGTGGCACCTGGACCAAACTCCACCAGGACAGAGGTTACAGTGCAGGGGCTGACGACTCGGTTATTTCTGCGCGACGCCCTTTGAGGCCTGGAATCTAATCTTTCATTTTTGTACCTTAGCAGGGAAGTGTGTGTTGAATGGATGAGTGAGTGAATGAATCCATGGATGGATGAAGACACAGAATTTGTGAATCAATAAACAGAGGAGACTGTCAGAGCTGGAAGCATGGATAAAGTCTCCGAGAAGCAGTTTTCAGAGAGAAGAGTGAAGTGAGACCCCAGTAAATAAGGGGGTGAGAATGGGGGAGGAGTGAGTGGAATGTGTAGGAAAGAGCAGGAATGTAGGAGGACGGGGATTTTTCGGAGCCATGGGAGCCAGGAGGGGTTTTACATGACGGATGGATGTGCTTTAATGAGTTCAGCAGGCCAAGTGCTACGGAGATAGGCTGTGAATTTGTCAGCGACCTTTAAAAGAGCAGTTCTACCCTCAAATGGGAGAACACTATCCCAAAAGACACCGTGGTCCTGTGGACTTTGGGGAAGCAGGAGATGTGTAGGGGGAGCCGGGATAAAAGGGGACGTGGCCCAGAGACAAGGTGGCAGACTGTGGTGGTTCGACCAAATCTGATGTGACTCCCTGCCAGTCAGAGCTAAATCTGCTGGGAGACTCTCAGAGCAGGCACTTTGTGCAAGAGGAGGTGGCACCCAGCCACCTTTGCGTGTCACATTTGGGAGGAGCTGTGCCACTGGCCCTGCCTGATCAAGCCCACTTTACTGTCACCAGGTAGGACTCCAGTGAAGGCAGACTCATTAAGCTCCTACTAATTCAGTGGGCAATTTCCTACAGGCACGACGCTGCCTGCAAAGCCGTCTTTCAGAGGAATACTGTGTATTTGGAAAGCTAGTGGCGTATAAGCACAGTGGCAGAGAGGGACTCATACTCTCACGCTCTCTCTGCTGCTGGACTCTGGGATTAGGTGGCACCTGACATCAGGGAAGAGCAGGTGACGGAGGCTGAGTAATCTGGCCGCATGCACCCCTCCTCTGTGGCACTCAGTCCTGTATCCCCAGCCAGTTGCTTTACCTGGGACTTTGCTTCCTTGCCTTTGGACTTGACACAGGGGCTCAGCCTTAGGTATGGGATGTCTTGGTTGTTTTGCTTTTGAGATTCCAGACACTTTTGCCTCTGTCGGATATTGCCCTTCTGGATGGAGGAATCCTTGGGGACTCTGGGGGAAAAGCCACAGGAGAGAGGAGAAGCCACTGCTCTCTGGATTGGACATAGCTGGAGAGGTTGGGTAGTGCTATGACAATGGCAGGACCCTCTTGCCCAGGGCTGTCACAAGGATTTACACTGCTTGGAGAAGGGGAAGATGTCACTAGGAAAGAGGGGGGAAGGGGAACTCAGGAGCCACAGGGGGAGACGGATCCCTGGGAAGGAGCCATGTCAGCAAGCCCAGCTCTCAGGGCATAATCCAGGAGTGGAGAAATACTGCTACTAGCTAACTCCCATCCCTCATGCTACTGATTCAATATAGTTCCCCTTCTGGTTTCAGGCATAGGGGAGCCAACCAGTCTTCTTAGATCTCCATATGCTTAAAAGCCCTCATCCAGTTGGCCACAGGCTATGTCTTCTCTAGGCCAAGCAGCTGAGGGCCTCTCCTTGCAGCCATCAAAGGCTCCAACAGGTAGGGAGGATACCTGAGTTCTGGGTACACATTCTCCAGGTACCACTTGAAGCTGTGGCAGCGCAGATTCTTCCTCAGGTCCAATCTGCTCTCAATGCTGGGGGCGACAGGGGTGGGGGCAGACACAAAGACAACACACAGCCATCAGAGGCGGGCACCAGTAACGCTGGCCCTCACTGTGGAGCACAAAGTGCAACCCATGCCCACGCTCTGTGCCCGCATCTCTCCGGAAGGTGCTGGGGAAACTAACCAAGGAGAGATTTCTATAACTCCAGAGCTATGGAAACATTAGCAATATCTCACAGTGGTGCGGTAATGACACCGAGGACTGGTGCTTTCTATTTGAAAATGGAATTTGGGGGTGTTTTTACTTTTCATTAAAAGCAAAGCTGCAAGAACATCCAGCGTGTTGTTCATAATTCATCGCCGGGGCTCTGGGTCTACTTACTCACAATCTCTCTGGATTCTGCTGTTGAAATCCCACTCCCCACTGCCCCAGCCTCAAAGAATCCCCTTCTTTGGCTGGTTCTGGGGCCTGCTCATATATTCGTTCATCAGATATTCATTGAACACCTACTATGTGTCAGGCATTGTACCCAATGTGGGATATGATGGAAAGCTTTTGATCAGGAGGAAAAGACACGGAAACAAGCCAACGCCACCCATGTGATGTAAGGTGTGCATGCAGGGCTGTGGGGACACCCCAGAGGTCACCCTCGCTTGTAGGGAAGGTCAATCAAGGTGGTGATGGTGATTCTGGCACCTGGAAGGAAGACTGGATGTTGTCTAGAAAAACCAGAAAGTGGACGAGGTAGGGGCTTCTGCCACAGGTGGGAGGAGAGCGGAGAGAGAGATTAGCACACGCGGAGAGTGAAAGTTCTGTTGGCAGGAATGGTGCTGCAGGATCTTAAAATAGATGTGTGTATGTGAACATATGTGGGGGCTGGAAGGGCGCAGTGGGTGGGATGAGAGTGAAGACAGGCCATAAAGGGTCCTGTGAGGTACTGCCAAGGAGTCTGGACTTCATTTTAAGGGCACTGGGATGGAATCAATGGGTTCTAAGCAGAGCACGACGTGGTGATGTTCTCGCTCTGAGAGCCCCTTGCTGCTGGTACGTGAATGGGTCTGATGGGGTGGAGCTGGGGACGGGGGATACTAGGAGGAAGGTATGAAAGCCCAGGGGCTGATCACGCTTTCAAATAGGGAAGTGGGTGGGAGTGGAGGGAGCACAGGCTCAGTCTCCCCTTCTCTCCCTCTGTACTGCACCCCCCCGCCCCCCCGCCCCCCGCCCCCCCGCCGCCGCCAGCTCCTTTCCACCCTGTCCTTCCTGGGTAGCCACACAGAACTGGCCCAGCCTCACCTCCCTCCGCCCCTGCCTCCTCCCTCGGCCCACCCTAAGACTGCACCAGAACTTCTCACACTGCACCAGCCACACCTCCTCAGCAGACACTAAGCTCCCCAGGGCAGGAAGGATGTCAGGTTTTTTTAAATGCTCAATGTTCAGGGTTTATCAAGGACCTGGGTGCTCATGTATGAATGAGGCTGTGTCGCCAGGATTTGCTGGCAGTTTGGATGGGGTGAAAAGGAAAGGGAGGAGTCAAGGTTGACCCCCAGATGTCTGATGTGGGCAATAGGGTACAAGGAAGGTGGTTTATGGGGAATATGGGATGAGGAGTGTGTTTAGGAGCAAACCACATGAGTTCAATTGAGGACTTGTTGAGCTAGAGGCCCCTGGGAGACACCCAGGAGAATGTGTCCAGTTGCTACTTGGATGCAGGGGACTGGAGCACAGAGGAAAGGCCTGGGTTAGAAATAGAGATGCGAGTACAGGCAGCAGAGATGTGGTGGTTAGTGCCTGGGAGAATGTGTGGCGAGACCAGCATGTAAGGGGTGGGAAGAGGAAGCTGAGCCTGCAATTGGGATCGAGAAGGCAGAACTGAGCAGCAGCAAAAGAGCCACACTGCAGAGCTCTGCCGGCCTCAGGACAGAGGCACGCCCAGGGGGAGGGGTGGGAGAAGACTCAGGCTGATGGGGCAGCGTGGAGGACAGTGTGAGGCACAAGTCAGTCATGGGGGGCCACGTGGGAGCAGTAGCAGGGCATAGGGGCCAGGAGCGTCGAGAGGGCATGGAGACAGTGAAGGAGCCGCTGCCTCCCAGAAATGGGCTCTGAACAAGCAGACAAGAGGAGGTGCAGTGATGGCACCGCTGGGCTGAAGGAGGGTTTCTGCGGTTTGTTTTCTGTTCTCCTCCTCATCCCTTTTTTGTTTGTTTGTTTTGTTGAAGATATAAGATGCTGAATAAGTTTAAATGCTGATGGAAATGATGCTCAGAAAGACTCGGGATAAGGGAGAGAGTGGAGGCATCTGGAGGGTAGATTCACCCAGCAGTGTGGTTCCCGCACTTGTCTGCATGTTAGAATCACCTGGGGGTCTTTGAAGACTTCCACAGCCTAGGCCACACCCCAGACCAAGTGAATCGACTCTCTAGAGGAAGAGCCCAGGCAGCAGTGGGTCCAAAGCACAGACTAGTTTGGGAACCTCCCTGCTAGAATGTCGCTCCTTGAATTGTGGGCCTGAGACCAGCAGCATCGGATCACCTGAGTGCTTATCAGAAATGCAGACCTCCTAAGTCAGAATTCACATTTTAACAAGATCCCCAGGAAATCTGTGTGCACATTAAAGTTAGATAGGCAAGAGGAGAGGAATGCAGGTAGTGGGAACTCGATAAATGCTGATTTATGGATGAATGCAGAAACGAATGGTGCACCCGGGGTACAGGCGGAGGGCTGGCCTACTGCAGCAGGAAGCACATCTCATCCTTTGAGACAAGAGTCAGAGAAGGATGGTGCAGATGCAGTGACGTTCATGTGTTGGTTTGTCTTGGGAAGTTGACATCCTCTATTTCATCTGTAAAACAGGAGGTGTCATCTACTGCCAGTGAAAGGAGGGGGTTGGACTCAAGGGCTAGGGACAGTGGAGAAGGTTTAATGATGATCGAGGGAGAATGCTAGCTAGGAAGGCAGCAGGGCCTGTGGGCATCCCGGGGGCCTTGTGGGGATGATGGCCATGGAGTATTATTAGTAGCACCAGCTGATATTTCCCAGTGCTGTTCGGCAGCCTGTGTTTAGGGGAGGACAGGTACAGTCAGGTTCACCCAGGTTGAGAAAACTTTGTGCAGGGGGAGGGTGTTGCTAGATGAACAACAGGGCAAAAGATCTGAGGACAAGACCTTCTGAGCTCTGTCTTCAAGCAAGAGTGTGGACTCCAAGCTGGAGAGAGAAGGGGCTTGAGGAGCGGGGTGGGCATGGCCAATGGACCAGAAGTTCTGACGAGGTCCGAGAATGAATGCCTCGGGAGGTTCGCAGTGGCAGTACGGGAAGGACAGCATGGATTTATGATCTCAGAGGTACAAATCGTTTGGGCAGGCTCTGATTTAACTCTCCCATGCAGTGATGGACTTGACCTATGAAGTTTAGGCTGCAAAAAACCCAACTCCTCAACAGACTTTATATGACTAGTGAGCGACATAAGTATGACAAAAAGCCATTGGTTGCCCCCAAAGAAACATAAATGATAATACAAATAAATGAAGTCACTATTTTTCTCTACTCCAATCAGCTCCAGGTTGGGGAATGCAAGTGCATATAATTTTAGAATCAGACAGATGCGGCTTGAGCCTGCATTCCCCTCTGACATGGTGTGGTCTAGACCAAGCACCTTAACATGTAGAAGCCTCAGTCTGCTCATCTGTAAATAGGGGTAATTAAGCCCATTTCTCAGAGTTTGGGAAGGATTAATGAGATGCCTTGCATAATGGTATCCAGTTCTTAATAAACATTCCTTGCCCTCTTCTCTTCTCCTGTGAAGGTTGCACACTGCTGTGGGGGACATCTGAAAGCATACTGTTCCTCCAAGGAAGGAGGTAACTGAGACTTGGGAGAGACTGAGTACTAGGAGGAGGAACCCTGTCCCACCTGGAGGGACTCAGGCTGTCTAATCTGCATCCCACCTTTCTGCAAAAAGCTGGACATACTGGTCCACTGTACAAAGCACAGCTTAGCTCCCCTATGGATTGGGCAGTCCAAGTTGCCAGACAGTCGCTCTACAAGAGTTGCCTAAAGCCCTGCACACCCACAGTGGGGCTCCTCTGGACTGAAGGGACACTTACCTCCCAAAGGGCCTCTCCAGGGCAAAGGGCCGGGCAGCATAATAGTACTGCTTGTATTCATCCATCCATACTTCTGCTGTCCGCTTGGTGTTCCTGGGGAGACAAGGAGTGTCCACAAGGGGCTGGCTAAGAGGGGCTGTGGGTACCAGTTAAAATACACACGTGCAGGCTGAGTCGGCAGCACCACCCATGTGGGGGCCATCACGATCAACCCACTAACATTGTTGCTCTCAGGGTGCTGCCCCAGCTAAGCCTCACCCAATCTCCACTCAATCTCTACAGCGGTCTCTACCCCAAGACACAGGATTGTAGTTCAGGTTGGGTATCCCTTATCCAAAATGCATGGAACCAGAAGTGTTTTGGATTTCAGGTTTCTTTGTTTTTGGATTTTGTAATATTTGCGTACACATAATGAGATATCTTGGGAATGGGAGCTGAGTCTAAACATGAAATTCATTTATGTTTCATATACACCTTATACACATAGCCTGAAGGTAATTTTATTTTTCCTTGGGGATGCTGAATAAGGTGTGTGTTGTGCACCTGCGTTTTGACTGCAACCCATCACGTGAGGTCAGGTGTGGAATTTTACACTTGCGGTGTCATGTTGGTGCTCAAAAAGTTTCAGATTTTGGAGCATTTCAGATTTTGGATAAGGATGCTCAACCTCTGGCCATCCTCTGGCTGATGCTCCTGGGCTTTCCCCTCCACCACAGGGAAGTGCTGAGGTCCCAGCTCTCCAGGGGGAAAGTTGGCATAATGAGGTCTTCCCGCAGGCCATCCGTCTAGCCTGGAGCAGGTGTGAAGGTCTAAGGAATCAAGCTTTCTCTTCCAGACATTCTGCCAGCACTGTAAGATTATTTAATCAGGTATTTGCTCTGAGTCTGACCCCAAAGGTCATGCAAAAGGAGATAGAAAGAGATACTGAGGATGTCATCATTTAGCAGTCAGGGGTGTTGGGCTACCAGGAAGAGCCCGACAGCAGAGAGAAATGACATCAGGAAATAGGTGACTGGTGTCCTGGCAGCCATGGCACTTGCCAAGGCCCAAGTAAGTGACCTTGGGGGTCCAACTAAAAAGGGGGTGCTCTTCCAGATACACACTCTGCTTGGGAGCAGAGGCCTCTGATACAGGAGCGTGGGAAGCCCTTCCACACCGGGACCTGAGCTGACATGTTTGCACATGCAGCACATCCGTGGGCACTGGAGCCAGTTACAGCCTCGCTGGCCCTTCCACCGGCATAACTGTCAGCAGAGTGGAAGCTGCTTAGCAGATATCTGTGCCTCACTTCTCTACAATCGGAGTGACACACCAGTGGCGTGCAGGATGTCCACAGGCCGGGGCCCAGTCTCAAAGCCACGGGCCATCTGGAGCCCAGGCCCTGCCTCATTCCCAGCCTGGTCCCTGCAGGTGGCCACACAGCCCTGCGCAGCCACATGGCTTCTCCGCACCGGATGCCCCAGCTTACCTTTCCTTTTAAACCTGCTGATTCTCTCATCACCCTCCCGTTTTCACTAAAGGTGTGGCTCGCATTCCCATTGCTCACCCCCTGCCTCCCCTGGGATGGCTGTCAGCTCGTGACACACATCTGTTCACGTGTGTGGAGACCCAAGGGGAGAACACAGGAAGGGACAGTGACACCTTAACGAGGGGCACCAAAGGGGGTGTTGCTCCCCTCCCCACAATGGTTCAAGTGACAGAACAAAGAGGAAGAGAGGACAGTGGAGGAGTGAAGGTATCAGATGACAAGAAGCAGAGGATGGGGAGAGAGGGAAGCGGGAGGAAAAGACGGAAAAGGGGAAAGGGACGCACAGGGATTACTCTGAAGGGAGAAGAGGAAGATGGGAAGAGGAGGGATCAAGGAAAGGAGGAGGGCGTATGAAGGCAGGAGCAGGGGACAGGCAGTGGGCACCCTGGGGTCCCTGTAACGATGTACCGTCCCCCAGGTAGGAGGTGAGAACACCTGGGGACAGGGATTAGGGTCTCAGGCCTGCCCCAGCCCGGACTGTTTGTGTGTGCTGGCCAGGCCTGGGAGTGGGCACCTAAGCTGTACCCTCTGTGCCTGCCCGTTCCTCTTGTGACCCAGCCTGAAGGTGGGGGAAGATCTTCTAGAACTTAGGGGTAAAAAGGGCTGCCCTTCCCTGACCCCATACAACCCCAAATACCAGGAGCTCACATGCTTCGAGGTGGCACTGACCAGCAATTTGAAGCCCTGAAGCCATCCCCTGCCCAGCCAGAGTCCAGGCAGCACGAGTGCGGCCCCTGTCCAACCGGGGGACTCAGGCAGCCTAACAGAGCACCAGGGGCAGCTGCAGCCCCTCAGCAGCAACCCTCGGCCACAGCCACATTTGCCGCTGTCCACACTCACTGCGCCCCTGGGGCACTTACTTTATGTATGTGTTGGCGTTTCCATCTGGGAAAACATACGGGTGTTTCTTCCGGAAGACGTGCCCCACCCGGCTGCAGGGGATGATCTCCAGGCTGCCCCCGCACATCCACACTCGGAAGGAGATTTCTGCAAGACAGTCACGCCCCTATTACCTCCTCTCACTGCCCCTCCAGCTGTAGGCCCCAGGTGCTGGGGAGGCCCCTTCACCCAGCCTGGGCACGGTGGCTAAGAACAGACTCTGCCGCCAGACTGTGAGCTCCACTGGCTGGACAACCTCAGTTTCCCCATCTATAAACAAGGATGGGCCCAACACGTTGGAGGGGAATGTAAGGTAATACAGGAGCAGTGCCAGGCATGCTAGCCCCTGGAACGCATTCGGCGCCAGGCATAGTTGGGGTGGGGGCTCTGCTGGGACTTTAGTCTGGAAAGGAGGAGGCTTGGGGGGCACCGAGACAGTTGCTTTTAAACATGTGAAAGCTTTCACGGTGGAAGATGGATTAGCCACACTCCCTGTGACCCCAGAGGGTTAGAATCAGGACTGAGGCCAAAGCAATTTCATTTGAGAATACAGTAGAATTTCCTAACTGTCAGGGCCCAGATGACTGTCATGAGAAGACTTGGGACAGGCTAGAAAACCACATGGCAAGGATGCAACAGAGAGGACTGCGACCCCAGAAGGCATCTGGACAAGGTGTCCACCAGAGTTCACTCCACACCAAGACTGCGATTCTACCACTGGGTAAGAGCCACTCGCATTGCAGCCCAGGGGGAGGAAGTCTGAGAGCAGAAACTGAGAGCTGAAAGCAACTGTAGAAAATGCTGGAAGCCTCAACGCTGTTATTGGGGGTGTCCCCGGGGTTCACACGCACACCTGTTTCTTCCTGGCTGGCTGCTGCTATGGGACCTCAGAGAAGGGGGGTGGGTGGAGTTAGCAGAGGCGGCTGTGATGAGTGTGTTCCTCCCTGTGACTGCACACTAGCAGGCTGGGAGCACGCTCCACCCCTGGAAGGAAGCAGCGGCACCCCAAGGGGGGCAGGGACCACTGGTTAGAATTGCCAGTGCGGGGTAACATTAAAAAGCAGAAAGACTGTTAGACAGTACTATTAGTGCTTTTAAATTCTCTACAGACAATGCACCGCCTAGCTGACTGCATCCAGGGCAGGCGGCCCCCTGCACCCCACTGAGTATGTCACTAGTAGAAAAGACAGCTTCCGATCTATAGGAATTCCTGCGTGGCCTGTGCTCCTGCGGTCAAGTCCAAGCATGAGGAAGGCAGGCTGGCTCATGAAAAGTCCATGCCCAGGGCGGCTGCACCTGCGAGGGGCCATGTGGATGTGGGCCAAGTGTCGAGGGGCAGGGATTGAGGATGCAGGTATCCCAGGGTCTTCCCGTCATGTGTGCCCTGCACCCTCCAGTACCCTGGGCCCCAGCTCCCAGCCTCTCCGGGTTTCTTCATCGTGGGTCCTCTCTCTCCTCTACTCCTCACTCCCTTCCGCTCCCACACTCTCTCCCCTCCTTCCAGCTCTCCAAGCAGATGCTTAAGCTGGAATTCTTCGTCCTGATCCTCACTGTCTCTCACTCACCTGTCCCCAGACACCTTAGCTGCCTCCCACCCCCAAGTCTCCTTGGAAAGGCCACAAGGCTACAGGTGAGACTTCCTGCACACCATCCCCACCTCTCACCTTCTCCACACCTGCCTACTGCTGCTAATTCCCAGGAAGCCTGGATTTCCCTCAGCGTGGGGGCAGCGCGGCCTCTAGGGGGAAGAAAGGACTTCTCACCACTGCTACTGAATGATGGTGAGAATGTGGCAGGAAGGAAACGGGGAGAGCTTAGCTGTGGGGTCACCAGGCCGGAGGCTGCAGTAACTACCAGCTGTGTCCCTGGGAAAACTGCTTAACCTTCTGGAGGCCTGATTTCCTCAAAAGTCAAACAAAGACCATAAACACACTCTGCAGGGCTGCTGTCAGCATCGAATGAAATAGAATTTTGAGAATACCTGTGTAAACTCTAAGTGTGAAGGGAGGATCAGCGGCAGTAATTCTGAGACGCCCTCTGAAGCCGGTGTTTCCAAAACACAAGCACTGATGTGCGGCACCCACCTGTGCCCACCTCTAACTTCTTAGATGGTTTACGGGCTCTTCCCATCTTCTGCCACGCTGTAGGAGACACTTGAAATTTGTGGATGTTATGTTTGAGACTTTGACTCTCCATGAAGTTCCACGCTATGGACCTGGCACTTGGCTGGGCACCATTTGAATGGAGTGCGCCCCAGCCTGGTGCGTGCGTGCCTGGCACCCACGCTCCGTCTTGCAGCGAGCACGCTGGGGGACGTAGGGGTTGGTGGCGGAGTGTGTCAGCACGTGTGAATCTGAGTCTCGGGACATCTTCCTGAACATGTCTATGCTCCAATCAGTTCCTCTCCAGGGAGTCAAAACAGGGTCTGCTCCAGTTCCCAAAAAGGAAAACCCTCTAATCCTGCATCACTAGAGACGGAGTCCTTGCTTACTAGATATAACCCGCACGTTCTGTGCCAGCTCTCTCCTAAAGATACGCACGTTTTAGTGACAGTCTCTTCCTCTCCATGTATTCAAATGAGACATATGTCCCTGTGCATTTGCAAAGCAAATTCCTCCACCCTACGCCTGGCCCACGTCGTCCCCACACCCACCCCCCACCCGCCACTTCTCTCCCTGAGCTCCCTTCACCCAGAACTTTGTTTCTCTCTGAAGCCTCCCCCTGCCTCAGTCGTGCACAGGGCCCCACCTTGGACAGCACGGTCAGCCGGCCTGGTCCTTCTCCACCTTCCTTCTGGTCTCCCCACATTCTTCTCCTACGTCCCCCCAAGGCTCTGCCTTCAAGTATCTTCCTGACACTGCTTCCTTATCTGCTCCCCGAGAGCACTGGACACCAGGAACTCACCTCCATCTCGTCAGCCCCTAATTCCCATGACCGGCGGAGGCTTCCATTGAGGTCCACAGGACACCACCCCACCCAAGACGTCTCCTTCCCCTCAGCACCTCCCCACAGCCCACTGCAGCCCTGCCTCCTCTCTGCTGCCCCTAAAGCCAGCCCAACCTTCCTCCTCCTCATTTTCCTGTGTCTGTAGCCCTGGTGCAGAAATTCAGAGTGTCACAATTCTGCAAACATCAGCCATGGAAGGAAAATAACCCCTTCATTTCCTTCTGGGCCAGGCTTTGTTAGGTTCCTCGTCAGGCGGTAGCTCCGTAGTCCTCCTAACAACCGTGCTCAGTGGTAATCGATGTGCTTATGTTGTGACGCAGAAGCAGCTCTGATAGGACAACCGACAGCGAGCAGCTGGGAATCTCCCCAACTCCAGAATTCATGCTCTTTCCCTGACACCACCCGCCACTGGCCAACACAGCTGTGGATACAAGGATCCTGACTCCAAGGCACTCACAAACAGAGTGACAAATACATAACCAGCTGTCACATTCCCCGTTATCAACTCACTCGTCCAATCCTGAAAAATGTCTGTCTCAGTTTGTCCTTCAGGCCGGCTGCTGCTGCCTAGAGGAATTTGCAGCTGAGATGAGTTAAGAGTATCTCTGCTCCGGCGTCCAGATTGTCGCACCTGAAATTATTGGAGGCACATGGCCTGACATGGCTTGCTGTGCGCCTGCCAGAGTCAAGAGGCACACGAGGGATGCGGCTTGGAGTTCAGATTAGTGTGATGATTTATAGGTTGTACAGTGTGGAATATTTAACACCCAGGACACAGAGCTGCCCTTCCCTGATCTATGCCACTGCCTTCGGGATAATGACGTGCATCCTCTCAGGACTGCGAGCCAGGCCTGGTGGCCCACAGATGTGTGCCGAAGTCTTTGGGAAAGTCCTGTAATCCTGAGGCCCCAGGAAGCCGGCCTTGACAGGTGCTCTCGGAAGTGCTGAAGACCGAGGTGGGCTGAGGCAGGGGCCCTCCAGGCCCGGCGTAGGGCCTCTGCTCCCCAAGGCCGCAGCTCCTGCAGATGCATCATTTCTTAAGTGAAAGAGGAGGGAGCAACAAGGTTTTGTGCAAGGAGTTCCTAGGGGGTTCTCGCTGAGTCAGCACCTGCATAATCTCCCGGGCGACGACTGTTGCCTCGCACAGACCCAAATCCACTTTGAATTCCAGGCAGGAGATGTGTAACTATTCCATCCTCTCTGGGGACTCTGTTATCGTCTCACGTTCTTCAAACATCAGGTTTATATTTGAGAGCAAATTGCCCTCCTCCCGCTGCATTTCCACTTCTTTCATTCTACGTCCTCATCAGCTCATCAGTAGTTCTTACCAGCCCTCCCGGGGCCCTGACCCTTCACCAGAACCAACATTTACCTGGCATGCCCATCGACGATGGACAGGAATTTGGGGGAGAAAGAACAGCTTTCTCCCCAGGAAGCAAACCACAGCTGTTCACATGCCACTGTTTGCCCATATTCGCCAAGGTTCTAATTTCATCGTACAGCCCAGTTTCTAAACAAAGGCAGGGAGAGCCATCCCATGTGGGTACCACTGAATGTGGTGGGCTATGTTTTAAATGGAGCCTCATATAATGTATATGCATCTATATTGTATACACAGTAACATTCTCCATTCTACCTTTGGCCAGGTTTAAACCTACTGGGCACAAAGGGATTGGAGAGGATGGTGGTGGGCACAGAGAGACAGACACTCACCTGGCCATTGTCATTCATAAGTGCACACATCTGTGTGACAGGACCTTGCCTTTGAGTAATCTTCACGTTCCCAGGGGCTACTGGGCCAGGAAGCAAACTCTGTTATTATTTTTAATGAACACATAGACTTGAGTAAACATAATATTATTGGCCCACAAAACACAGCCTTGAATCTGCACTTCGCCCACATCTGAGACAATCAAGGCTCCACCCAGGCCCCCTACTCTAGATGAGTATTGACCACAGGCACGCCATGGTCACCAACGGCCATATGACTGCAAATGCCAAGGTGACACCCTTTATCTTTCCATATTCCCTATGAAAACCAAACAGCCAGTGTCGATGGGGCTCGATTAGACTTGGAGACGTTCAGGAGCAGCAGGAGAGGACAGCCTCAAGGGATCTCACCTGGGCGTGAGGCTTCAGCAACGGAACCTGGACAAGGAACAGGGTGGTGGGCTGCATGAGCTTTACTCTCCATCTGGGGAAAAAGATGCCTTTTCATCAGACTTGGATGCTCTTCTCAGATGAGGCCATTTCCCTAATCTTGAGCCACTGATCATGGAAAAGGTGAGGCCCAAAGAGAAAGTGCCAGGAATAAAGTACTCCAGCAGGTCAGACACAATCCTCCTATGACAAATGCTGCTCACATGTAGCCTCAAGGGGAAGGCAGCCCATCCTGGTGAAGCGGAAGTGCTTGTATTATCTAATTTATCTTCAGAACAGCCCTGTGGTATAGGGACCATGATAGTTTTCCACTGCTGCCATGACGAATGGCTGCAAACTTAGTGGCTGGGTTTGGTTGGGTCCTCTGCTTAGGGTCTCACAGGCTGAAATCAAGATGTCAACGGGATTATGAAAGGAGGCTATAAAAAACAATCTGCTTCCAAGCTCATTCGGGTTGTGTGCAATTCTTGGGGCTGCAGGACTGAGTTCCCTTTTCCTTGCATCTGTCGACCTGGGCCTTTTCTCAGCTACTTCCGTGTCTCCTCTTCCAGCAACGGGGTTGGTCGGTTCCTCTCATGCTTCAAATCCCTCTGGCTTCTCCTTCCGCTACTTCTCTTCTGCCTCCAGCCTGAGAAAGTTCTCTGCTTATCAGGGCTCAAGCAATTAGAATGGGCCCACCCTGAGAAGCCAGGGTAACCTCCTGCCTTCAGGTCACTGACTGGTGATCTTCATCATATCTGCAAAATCCCTTCTGCCATGTAAGGCAACATCCCGACAGGTGTCAGGGATTAGAGTATGGACATCTTTGGGGGGGATTCTTCCTCCCACAGGGGTCCTTGGCTCCACTTTAGAGAACTGGAAACAGGCTCGGTGAGGTGAAGGAACCTTCCCAAGGATGCCTAGTGATGACTACCAGATTTCAAACTTAGGTCTATCTGCCTATGTTCTTTACATAACACGTGCGCACATGCACGGGGGAGCCAAGCCTGGCGCAGCCCGGTGTCCCTGCCTACATTCTGGAGGTGGCAAGTGGTGGTGGTTCCTCTCTGGGCCCACCTCATCTGTCTCTTCGAAGCAGTCTTTTGTGCCTCCTTTGCTTTGGAAATCCCACATTCTAATTCAGGAATCCCATGCCTCCGTTCGCGCATGTGCCAAGGCCTCCTTTTTGGAAATGTGCACCCCACACCCAGACCACCTCCACACACACACACACACACACACACACACACACACACACTTCCTACCAAGGCAACAGATTTCTTTTATCTCTAAAGACCAAAAGCTAAAAGTAAGATGCAGCTCAAAGGAAGTAGATGTATTACAGGTACCCTGTGTAATGTAAATTGCAGTTTAAGCATCCAATTTTAATGCAAATCAACTTCTGAAAAATAAAGTCTAAAAGCCACATTTCCCTAAAACCTGCTCTCATGCTGAACTGTAGATGCAATTATCAGAGCCGTTCAGCTCACCTTGGAAGCACTTGGTGGGAACGGTGGCCCCAGGGTCAAGGTGTGTGAGTGTGGGAGGCCTGGCTTTCACGTGGCTGCTGCAGTCCAGCCAACTGAGGCTGCTTCTAACAGATAAAAACCAAGATGGGGAGGGGTAGGGGCTGCAAGCTATTGCACAGGTCACGGTCATCCTGGACGGAGCCTTCCCTAATAACCTCATGTATCTTTGTGCTGTGAAATAAAGTCAACACCACGTATGCGAACATGTCTAGAATGCACAGAAATTCTACTTTTTGGGAAGGAAAGATGTCTCTTCCTGCTACGGTTACTAGTCTCATGTTTAAAGGGAACCCTTCATCATGGGCTCCATTTAATATTCAATGAGACCTATTTTAAATGGCGCCTCGTATACTGTGTCATGTTGCCCTTCCCACCCCGAACACCCTTCCCGATCAGTCTCTGGCTTTTTGAACACACATTTAGTGAGCAGTTTCTACTGTTGTGGGCCTCAAGAATGAGAAGTTGGATGAATGGCCTTGGCTTTAATGAGTTCCAGGTTTGGTAGGAGGCTGGGCAGCAGGAACAGATGAGTAAACAGACAAACACGTAAGAGGGCTCAGTGCAATGATAAAGAGGGAACCCGGCACTGGGGGCGCAGCATAAGGGAGAGCGGGGCAGGTGTCCTAGTTCTAGAGGAGGTGACCCCAGGACTGTGCTGTGCAAGGGAGTCAGCTTCTGCCTTGGGTAGAGATGGGAGGCTAGGTCGTTGTAGAGGGTCAGGCGCATTCTAGGAAGCGTGGGAGGTTCTGTTCAGGACCTCTGGACTGGAGGCTGGAGGCGGGAGCAGACTGATAAGGTCAGAGATGGGGGCAAGGCCATGGGAGGGACCCATGAGGAGTGGGGGCCTCCACCATAGGACAAGAGGGAGCCACTGTGGATGCCAGGCCTGGGAGGGGTGGGGAGGTTTGCATTTCCGAAAGAGTACATTGGCAGGAGTGTGGGAGGTAAGATTCCACTGCAGAGTAGAGGTGGGGGACCACTGAGGACAGGGCTGGTGGCGATGGAGAGAAGGGTGTGAGCAATGCTGAGGGTGGCGAGTCTTCAGGACTTGCGGGGCAGGAGGCTCCTCCTGCCACACCCTGGTGCCAGGCAGCTTCCCTCACCCCTTAGCACCATCCCTCCTTTGCAGTTGGAGAGTCACTCACAAACTCCATCCAATCGTCACACGGACTGTCTCTCACATCCCCCTTCCAGTACTCAGGTGCCTTGTCACTCCAGCCACAGATGCGAGGCTGCCGCGTGACATAGTCACCATTGGAAAAGCACTGCGTTTTCTGGCATATAAAATGCTAATATATATATACATATATATATCTCCATCCAGAAATGGCTTTCGAAATGCTGTTAGCTGGCTATAACATAATGGAATGTTGGGGTGGGGAAAATGAAGTGTTTCCTGTGATAGCTGTTGGCGGCGCTTTTTTTGTGGTTTAAAAAATTTTGTGATGGATTGTAAATGTCTCTCCCACACTTCCCAACGTCTCTATTCCAATCGGCCCTTGTTAATGCCAAAAGACTTGGAAGCCTGCTAGATGAGATTGCTACTTGATTTGAGCAGATGTGTGTGAACACTGCTACAAGGAAAGGTATTGTACCGATACCAGAATGGACCAGACTGCGCCTTGGTTGAAAATAACATACTGACTCCAAATGGGGTTGCCACGTGGAAGAATCATACTCACTTTGTGTGGTTCAAGAGGGCAGAACAAATCTGATGGACGGGAGCTAGGGGAGCCAGGCTTTGATTTAGAAGATTTTCTAACAGCCCAACAAAAAAAATCTCTACAACAGAATGCACTAAACTGTGAAATAGTGAATACATATTATAAGTGGCATTTGAGCAGAGGTTGGGGGACTGCTGTCTGCCAAAAGTGCTGCAGAGAGGATGCATTTGATGGTCGGGAGAAATGCTGGAACACATCACTAAGAGGAACTGGGGTCCTCAGGACATAACAACTGGCTCTGCCCAGCATGAGCGAAATCTCTGCCGCACTGAGAACGTCAAGGGTCTACCTGGCTCCGAGTTCTCCTGGCTTGATGCAGGCAGACCTGGCCTCGAACCCCACATCGACAACCCCCTACCATGTTCCAGAAGGCCTTCTTGGACTGGGTTCCAGGGAGGGGGTTTGGTTTGGTTAGGGTGTTGGGGTAACTGTTTTGTTTGCTAAGCTTCCAGGCTGGCCTCTATATGGCAAGACACCGACTTTTCTGATGCATTTCTCTACACCGCCCAGTCTGGGAGAACAGATGCTGTGGGTCAGGCCAGAAGCCATAAATTTCTAGGAAATAACTCTTAGTGACTGAGGAAGACAGCCATAAAACTCTCTGGAGGCAGAAACAGGAGAAAACAATGACAGCAGACAGTGCACGGGATTACTGCTAAATGCCAGGACGACCCATGGATCATTCTCTTGGCTTGCACCACCGTTTGGAACACGTGCCCCAGTGTTCGAGAGGAAAAGGGCCCCAACATGTGGCAGGTCCTATACTAAGCACTGTGGATGGCCAGGAACAAAACGGACTCAAATCCATGCCCTTGTGCAGCTTCTATTCTAGTGATCTCTTAGGTCTCACCTGCTGGGAAGAAACTAATATTTACTATGCCTGTAGGGTGCCAGGATTCTGACACTGACCTTAACTGATTTTCATAACAACCCAGAGAAAAGAAGTACAATTATTACCCTGAAATTACACTTTTAATACACAAGGGAAATGAGGTCACTTGATTGTCACTAGCTAGATAAAGTGGGTCTTTCTGACTGTGCTGTTTCTCTTATAGCTGTAAACCTCAGCCTATACCACTATGGCCAGACCTGGCCATCTGCAAGGTTTTGGGCCCTGTAACCCAGCCCCTCTCCCACTAAAAGATATTCCCAAGGTTCCTGTAGCAATTGACCTGGACCTTCCTCATTCCCCAGTGCTGAATGCCCTACTCATAGCAGCCAAAGGACATCAGTGGGTGTTCATGGATGTCACTGCTGTTCCTGTTCCTCATTCTCTTTCTCTCCAGTTTCCTTCCAACTCCAAATTTGCAGGTGCAGTGCTCCTAGTTTAACCTGCATCTGGCCCCTTGGACTTGGCATTCCTCCTTGGTCCTCCTGGCTGTTGCATCTCATTTTCCCCCAGCAGTCTGCCCAGGTGTGTTTCCCTGGTCCTCAGCATCCATGTGGCCCCACAGAGCAATTCCCGTCACCACCACCCTCCAACAACCATTAGGAGTAACTCACTCACCATCTCTTAGGCCCTCATCCCAGGCACACGTGACTCCCCACCGACAGCTTGGCGTGGGATCCAAGGATGCAGAGATCCCTTCCCCAGCCCTCAGAGTGTACAGAGGGGTGTAGGTCAGGACGAATAGGACAGGGACTCACCGAAGTTCTCCCCGCCCCAGATGTCCATGTCCATATCATATTTCCCCAGGTAATTGAACCAGGCTTTGTTGATCACGAAGAGTCCTCCAGCTATGATCGGAGTCCTGTGCATTTGGAAGAGAAAGAGAGGAACTAGTTATAGTGGGGAGGTCACTCTCAAACTCTTCTGCCCCAGGAGTCTAGAACTCAAGGCCATTTCTTCCCATTTCGTTCCTACTCAGAAGGGCCAATACATTTTCCAGTTACCTGAAACAAGAACAAGCCCCAGGGTTTTTCCCTTTGATTGTAAATTGCCTGACCTCCCAGACAGGCACATTCACTCATCAGCACACCTCCCGTGGGGCGAGGGGCTGGCTCAGGACTCCAGCTGCTCTGATGACCTGCCTGGGAGCCTCCGCTGGCCTCTTCCACAGGCCCTGCCTGGCAGGGGCTCTCTTGGCAGCTCGGTTGCTGGGGGTCAGGGGCGGGGGCCACTGATCGGGCAGGGAGGAAGGGCTGAGGCCATCAGCAGCACATCCCTCTCCTGAAACGGGCTCTCTCTCCTTTCCCCTTTTCCCTCTGTTACAGGTTGAATCGTGCCCCCTTCTATGCTCCCAGTACCTAGAATGTAGCCTTATTTGGAGAGAGGGTCTTCATAGAGGTCATCAAGTTAACATGAGGTCAGCAGTGTGGGCACTAGTCCAATATGACGGCTGTCCTTACACGAAGGGGAAATTTGGACACAGAGACAGACACACAAAGACGATGGGAAGAGACACAGGGAGGAGACAGCCACCTTTAGGCGAAGGAGACAGGCCTGGAACAGATCCTTCCTCACAGCCCTCAGCAGGGAGGACACCTGAGGACACCTGATTTCAGACATCTGACCTCCAGAACCCTGAGACAGCGCGTGTCTGCCGCGGAAGCCACCCCACGTGTGGGGCATTGTTACAACAGCTCTAGTGAACTCACATACACCTGAGCACTGAACTCTGATCTTCTTTGCCCAAAAGATTCCTTTCTAAGGGGGCCTGGTGAGTTATGCCTAACAATGATAAAATCTCAGTAAACAGGTTTTTATGATGTGTTTTATTTCCCAAGCTGATTCCGGTATAGCATCGCATAAATGATAGGAGACCCTTGTCTTAACTCAGGTGTTCCTATCCACTGACAAAGCCACCCACAGCTCAGCAAAGCAGCCAGAGTCCATGCCACCGTCATGTTCTCACCCAGAAGGCACAGATGTGCTTGTTAATACGTAGCAGTGGCTGTGCCTTGATTTTGGCCTCCACTTACAGCAGTGGTTGATTCAACCTTCCCGGACTGAAACCTGACACCTAAGACCCAGGGTCTCTGCTCCTGGCCCTCGAGAACCATCCTTCCCTCACCAGAGGCCTACATGGACCCTCCTATGGTAGCAAGAGGCACAGCTACGTCATGGCACGTGTGAGAGTAGACAACACTCCTCAGCAAGTTTTCACCAGGCCCCATCTCCTTAGCTAGAAGTTTCCATGAAGATGAAAGCCTCCTAAAATGAGGGCAAAAGTGGAGACGTCTTGGCAAAGTGTTCTCTTTGACTCTGCCCAGTCCTTTGCTATCTCGTATGGAGTGCCTCCCTACACCATGTGACAGAGGGAAGGCCCCAGTGGGGACGGATCTGCCCACTCACCCTCGCACAGACCCTTCCCTCTTACCTAATGGGCTCCGTGGGGTCCAGGCGCTGAGACTTCTGCATTGGCGAGAGCTGCTCCCACTGGAAGTGGAGGCTCCAGTCAAACCCTGAAACACAGCACTGTCCTGCTTGATTTGGTCTCTCAGAAGCACCGCAGAGCTTCTCCAGAAGGTCACAAATGCACCTGGGTTCCCTAAGAAGCTGGCCCCCGGGACACAGGTCCAACCAGGGCTGATCAGCAGCCTGGCTGCCAAAGCTCCCTCTCACAGCTCCTTCTCTTTCTCTACCTCCCACGGCCTCTCTGAACCTTCTCTACCGGGCAGAGTTAGGAATAAAGCGCAGAGGATATGGAGCCCAGGGTAGGGCCTGGAGATGACAGGATGGACAGTCACGGAAGGAGGCCCTTGGCCCTGAGTATCGGGAAGTTGTGAGCAGGAGGTTTGGGAGAGGCCCCTAGACTACCTGAGTCACCTCAAAGTCGGTCATGGGGGGAGCACGAGGCCCTGGGCAGAGATGGGGGGCGAGACTCCAGGAGAGAGGGGCGGAGCGACGGGGCCCCACACAGCCAGGGAATCCTTGCTCCCATCGCATTCTCAGGCCTGGGGTGAGCCCTGTCTGAGCGCTGGAGTGCTGCCCATTCCCAGCCCTGCCGTCCACAGTTCTGGTGCTAAGAGCCAAGCTGGAGTTATTAAGTCACTGCAGGCAGGCTGGGCGTTCCAGACGAGTCACTGAGAGCTTTCCCTCACTGTCCCCACCCGGGAGAAGGCATCAGCCCCACTCACCCCCTCTGAGCTCTGAGGCGGACTTGATGTAGGCGAAGGTGTCCAGGTTAATGATGTCGATCACGGGGCACACCACCCGCGTGTAGTCCTGGAAGACAACAGACCCGCGCTCAGTCTGCCATAAGGAGCCCATGGGGAGTCAGGGAGCTCGGGAGGCCTCCCTGGTGGTGCCAGAGATGGGGGTTTTGTGGCCTTGACCAAGCCCTTTCGTCTCTGGGTCTCAGTTTTATCATCTATAAAATGAGGCACTGGACACTGAGACCTCTCCAGTTCTGATGCCTAAAACGCTAAGCGCCTTTCCTTGACTGCTGGGGCCCCTCTGCCACAGCGGCTGTTGGAGAATGGTGCAGACAGCTGGAGGCTGGCTGGGGAGCGCTGTGCACCAAAGAAGGGGAAACCGGGAAGCCCTTCCCCCTCCGTGGGCTCCAGGAGGCAGATCCGGCTGGGAAGGCGACCCGAAGCCCGCAGCCCTGAGAAGCAAAGTCACACACACCCCGCCCCGGGAACCTCTCAGTTTCATTCCAGGCCTGTGGCTCACAGACAAGTGGATGGACAGCATCTCCGGAGACTCCCAACGTCAGCCATTCCCTGTTCACGCTCACGAACCTGTGCCAGGTTCCTTCCCTCCTCACTTCCAGACTCAGATCCAAGATGCCACTGGCCACCTCCATGTGCATTTCACTCAGCCCTTCCAATGGTGGCTTTATCCTCTTCTCCTCAAACACCCTCCTCCCCCTAAGTTCCCTATTTCTGTTAACAGAATCATCGTGTATCCCCTCCCCCCAGCACTAACTGGAGAAGCTTCAGCCGGCCTGTCAACCAGATCAAGTCCTGCTGGTTCTAACTCTACATTTGTTCCTTTGAATTCCTCCTGCCTCTCCTTCACCCCTCATGCCTGGGGAATCGCAAGGGACTTTTAAACCCAAGCCCACCCCACCTCCTTCTCTTCTGCTTCATTCTACTTAGGGCCACCAAAGGTGACTTTCCAATTTGCAAATCTGACTCTGCCACTCAACTGCTAAAAACGTTCATTGCCTCTAAGATAAGGTACAAACTCCTTAGCCTGGCATCCAAGACCATCAGGACAGGCCTGTCTCGAGCTTTCCAGCCTCATCACGTCCTACTTCCCCCAGGCCACCCCATCTCGAGGCATGAAAATTCTCCAGAGAACAGTTTCAAAATATGCAAGCCCAAGTCACCAGCCCTTGGGGGCCATCAAGGCATTGTGTACATATTTTCAGGTTTCCCAATCCTGGGTTAGTACCCCTGTACCTTGCATGCAGTGGGGGAAACTGCCCCCAAGCACGGAGACTCATAGACAGCTAAACAGAAATCAGGCGGACTGGGGAGCTCCCAGCAAAACCAGCAGGTGTCTGGAAACCAGGCAGGACTGCTCTTCTAGTCTTTTGCCCTGACCACCTTTTGGCCGACACAGGCAGGAACCTCTGGTTCTCCTTGAAGCCATTTAATTTCCTGCTTCAATTTTTCCTCCAAATGAGCTTGTCTCCTTATTTTAAGCTCCAGATTCACTGAGTGTCTGATTTTAAGTTCACAGACTTAATTTGGCCCTCAGTCTCCCACATGTGACTCATTCTGACAGTAACAAGGTGCCTCTGAAAACCAATTGGCCCACATGGAAAGAAACGCTCATTTTCTATGCATTGCTTCTACCTCTGGGATGTCGCAGATGCTCATTCACAGTCAGCACTGCACCTGCCCAGCTGCCATGGTTCCTCTGGGGCTCTTCTTGGGCCACTGTCATTGTGTGTCTGTGTGTAGATGCACATGGCAGGCACACACACAGTCATCCATACGAATACCCCCACACAAACATATGCACACACACACATTGTCCCTTGAATTCTGAAATGTCCTCAGATGTTCAGCGACATCTTCTGGTACATCTGACAAAGTCTTCATTTTGCCTCTGTTTTGAGTTTTGGGGCCTCGGCGGGTGCACTATGTCCTTCTGCAGCTCCTACACAGTGAAGGATTAACCGTGCCCAGAGATAGTTCTGGCCTTTACCCAGCTGCTTGGAGGTAACCTCTAAACCCTTGAAATACCCTGCCTGGAAGAGCATCTTTGTTTCCCTGGGAGCTGTGAGCTACACCACATAGTCTATGCTAACAATGTGATTTGTGGTGAGGGCCTTGAGCCACGCAGCACCCACTCAACTTGACCTCTGGAGGGTCCTAGAGACCATGAGAGTGGTCAGCTTGTCTATGGGACTGACCCCCAAGAAAAGCTTCAGATACTAAGGTCCAGGTGAGCTTTCCTGGTTGGCGATACTCCATGCATGTTGCCTCACATCCTTGCTGAGAGAAGTGAGCGCTGTCCCTACAGCCCACTGGGAGAAGACAACTGGAAGCTCATGCCCGGAACTCCCCTGGCACCTTCTCCCACTGCCGACTTTCATCTGTATCCCTTCACCGTAATAAACCATAACCACGACTGTCACAGTTTTGCTGAGTTCTTAGTCCTTCTAGCAAATGATTGAACCTAAGGGTGGTCTCAGGGCCCCCCGAACTGCAATCCTGTTTTGCTTTGACTTTAAAATAAATCTTCCCCCAATATTTGCAAACCACAATGCCAAATAAAATGCTGACTGTTCACTTTGGCCACGGACTCCCCGGAAGCCATGCATGGGTTCCACCTCCAGGACTGCGACAGCTCTGGTGCACTCCCCGGTAAGCTCTGAGGGTTCTGTCCTATTATCCCTGTCATAGCTCGGCCATGGCGTCTGCCTGGCTGCGAGTCACGGAGACCAGAGAAGCAGTGAGGGATGTTTGGGGCTGAGTGTGTGTGGAGCCGCGACCTTGAAAGGGGCTGCAGGAGACTTTAAGAATGAGCCATCCAAGCCAGGGCACGACCTCTCTGAGTGCCACTTTTGTATCCCTCAGCCCCAGCCCAGAGCCCGGTGGGCAGCAGGTGTTCAATCTGTGCTGGCTAAAAGAGGACGTCTATTACTGCCGCTGAGGACACTGTCGGTGCTGCCAGCAAGCATGTCGCAGCTGAACAGGATGGCTTCTCCTCCCGCAGGCTCCCGATGAAGGGACTTGAAGTACAAATACCTAGACCCACAGGAGGTCCTTGCCTCGTGCCCCACCAGGCTGTATCTTTAAAGCTAGGACCACGCTCAGCTCCAGCAGGCAGCAGGTGGAATCTTGGCAGATCCTGGACCACATCCCCTGCTCTCTCCTCCCCCATGGAGATCCAAGCCCCTACCCCCACCCCACTCCCACCCAGCCCTCCCCAGCCAGGAGCAACAACAGAGGCGGAATGCACCAGCCCGTGGCCATCGTCATCCTGCTGTCATGCCTTCCGTTTCTCCACTGAGTCATGTAATTAAAACCACACTGGGAATTGGCAATCCGAGGGACGTTCACTCCTGTGGTCACCCAGCATCCCTGAGCACCTGCTGTGGGGTGGCTGTGGCGGGTACAAAGATGAGTAAGACTTCCCAGTTTAGGGAAGGTGAGGACAGGGGACATGGTGCTGATACAGGTGTGTAGACACACAGCCTGGGGGCCTCTAAGCTGGCCTGGAGGGAGGGGGGAGAGAGGAGCAGGGGAGTCCTCAATGAGGTGACACTGTGGGGCAGGGACAAGTTGGCAGGACACCTAGGTTCCCATTCTGGTTCTGCCATCTAGAATACATGTGACTTTACACAAGTTGGCACACTCTGTGGGACTCTGTTTCTTCATCTGTAAAGTGAAGACAGGTTACTATTTGCAAAACTACCCTGCCTCTCTAACAGGGCTTTTGTGAGGAAAAAGAGAAGAAGGTATGTGATAAGTCTTGGAAGAATATGTCAGCTATTATTAATATTTATATAAATTTGCCAAATGCTACAGGGATTGGGATTTCTTAAAATTTTTTCTGCTACTAAAAATACGTAGATAAAGAGGGGGAAAAGAGAAGCCTACGTTAACAAAAAACAAACCAAACTGGTGCTGGTTTCAAGTGTCTTCACGTAATTGAAAGGAAGAGAAGGAAAGCTGGGGAGGTTTTCAGTGTGGAAAACACCAGCTGAAGACAGCTCATGACAGCTCAAGCCCAGCCTCTTCCTTATTTCTTTCTATTTTTGAAAATCCCAAACTCGAATTACTGCTTAACATTTCTACTTCCACACACAAGACCAAATCACGTTCTACTCTAACACAAGACACATACAAAGACACGCAGAAACCAGGCCGACACACGCCCACATTCCCTATCCCCAAAGGGCTGTCCCAGAGGAACCATTTCACGTCATTAAAACAGTCAGGGTCTTAGCAAAAACCTCTGCAGCCCCTCAAGGGGCAGAGCCAGACCATGGTTCCTGGGCTTGTCTGACTAATCTCTCTGCCATGAAAGCTTTAGCACAGGCAGCGGAGAGGACCGAGGAGCTTAGCTTGGGAGGCTGAACTCAATCTTGGGGCCAAATGCCTCCCCGAGAAGGAGTGTTAGGCAGCAGGCAGGCACTAAAGGAGCCGGAGGTTTTGCCTGACCAGTAGGTGAGGCTGGCCATGGATGCAAAAGTGAGAACATGACTCAGAGAGGGCTTCTGAGATGGACTCGGAGCCACTGAGATGGAAAGGGCTTTGCAGGTTCATTAAGGCTGTCCAAGGAAAGCAAGGCTCGCTTAACGCATCCTGCAGGGACAAAGTCAGCCTGGGGGTCCCTACAGATTAAACATAAAATTACCATATGACCCAGCAATTCCATTCCTCCATATATATACGCTCAAGAATTGAAAATAGGTACTCAAAGAAGAAAAAAAAAAACTTGTACACAAAAATATTTATAGCAGCACTATTCACAATAGTAAAAATGTGGCAACAATGCAAATGTTCATTAGTGGGTGAATGGTAAATAAAACATGGTATATACATACCATGGAATATTGTTCAGCCATAGAAAGGAATACTGATACATGCTACAGTGTGGATAAAGCACACAAATGTGCTAAAAGAAGCCAGGATCAAAAGGCCACATACTGTAGTATTTATGTGAAATGTCCAGAATAGGCAAATCCATAGAGACAGAGAGCAGATTAGTGGTGGCCAGGGGCAGAGAGGAGAGGAGAACGAGCAGCGACTGCTAATTGGTATAAGGTTTCCTTTTGGGGTGATGAAAATGTTTTAAAATTAGGTCATGATGAGGGTTACACACTGCCGTGAACATACTAAAATCATTGAATTGCCCACGTTCGAATGGTTAAAATAGTAAATTTTGTTATATGTATTATATTTTACAACATGACACACACACTCATACAAAGTCAGCCTGGGGGCAAAGGCCATGGGGACGGAGTACACCACTGTCACGGCTGCACCCAGGGAGGCCTGGGCACAGTTCTGGGCAGAGAGCTCCTGGGGTCAGGTCTGAGCCCTGACCACACCCTGGTCCAGCAGCCCCCAACATGTAATGAGAGCCAGGGCCCCATGAGCTTCAGCTCCTGGGTATGTGGCCAGCAACCTGGAAGGGGGAGGGGGCCTGCCTGGGGCAGGGGCCCCCGAGGGGTGGGGCCCAGTGAGGAGAGGAGCAGTGCTGCGTGGGCGCTGGACCGTGCCCTGACCACGGCCCTCCATTTCTTTCTCAGAGACGAACGTCAAGACTGTTTACACTGCAACACATCTGTCATTCTAGGAGAGGGGCAAGTTACCTTAGAAACATTGCTGGGAAAATGCTTACGTATAACATTAAGGGAAAAAACCAGAATACAAAATGATATAAATACAGTATGATTACAATTATGTAAAAAGACACTATCTGCAAAGGGAAAAAGATCCTAAATGGAAAGAAATGTTAACAGTGGATGACTCTGAATGGTAGAATTTTGATTAATTTTTATTCTACTGCTCCTCATTTTCCAAAATGTCTACAATGATCATGGAATACTTTTGTGATGGAAAACGAGAGGTCCCAGCCTCCTCTGTCCCCTGCCAAGAAGTTTTCCATTATACCACATTCCTCAGTTTCGAACCCACTTTTTTTAAAATATGACCTTAGTTTAGGTAGGGAACACCTTGTCTCTTCCTTACAAAATCCCCTGTAAGCAGAGACACCATCTCCAACCCCTCCCTTTCCCCAGCTAAGCACTTTTAGACTCTGAACATTAGTTCTCATTCTGCTTCCTTAACCCTTAGTTATTGTTTAACGTGCTGCAGTTTCCTTTTAACTGCAGGCATGAATGGGCACAGAACGATTTAGCTGGCCCTAGGGTAGTGTCAGCAACTCCCAGGCAGAAAGATCTTTCTGGGAAGTAAAGGTTCCTGCCGGGGAGTGGTTACCTCTATCACCAAGAGGTGCCCACATGTTTTCCATATTTCTTTTCCTCAAAGAATTTCAGTTTTACTAGAGTTTTCCCTGGCTTCTACCTGTGTTCACTTACTGTGCTCCCCTTCACGGGAGGTCGTTTGCAAACCAGTGTGGCACCAGTACACAGGGACCCCCTGGGTCTTACCAAGCAGGGCTGGATTCCGTTTACATGGCCTGTTCCAACCTCAGGATCCTGCCCAGAATAGGTGTTCGATCAACATCTGTTAATTAATTTAGGGGCAGGACGCGAGGCTGCTTTCCTATTCCAACCCTATCACCTCCCCATGGCATTTGGTCTCTTACTGACATTTCCAGACACCGAGTACCTCCTCTATGACGGGCAGGGTAGCCACAAGGAGGCACTGGTGCCCGCACTGGGTTTGGAATCTGTTAGGGCTGCAGTTCCCAATCCCTGGTACCTGTACCAACCAGTCTGTGTCCTTTTGTGAATTGGGCAGTGTTACCGCCTGAGCTCCGCCTACCCCTCTCCATCTGTGGAAAAATTATCTTCCCTGAAACTTAGGAACCGGGCTGCACAGCAGGAGGTGAACAACAGGTGAGCGGTAGGCAAGCGAGTGAAGCTTCATCTGTATTTACCGGCGCTCACCATCACTCACATCACCTCCCAAGCTCCTCTGCCCCCATCCATGGAAAAATTGTCTTCCATGAAACTGGTCCCTGGTGTCAAAAAGGTTTAGGGACTGCTGTGTTAGGGGAGACAGAGAACCCAGAAGAGGAACTGGTGGACCAAGGGGATAAGTATTGCCAGGAGTGACCTTTGCTGGCCGCACCGTCAGGAAAGGCTTCTTAGAGGAGCTGGGGCGGGGGCTGAAGAGTAAGGGCTTGTGGAGCAGGCGAGAGGCAACCGGGGCAGGAAGGGCTTGGCCAGAGCTGGAGCAGTGGGGATGTCGGAGGCACGTTCAGGGACAAGGAGTGGCCCAGCTGTGCTGCTGCTGTAGACAGGAGGCAGACGAGGGGCGCGTGTGGAAGTACCAGGCAAAGCCCTTCAAGTGAATGATCTGTTCATGACTTAGTATTTCTCAGTCCAGACCTCTTTGCCTGGCTTATACAAAAAGGAGGTGGAGAGGGGAGATTTCTAAACAACACTGAGTGGACGAGCCTCCCAACCTCAGGGAAAATGGTCACTGATGGGCTTTAACACCTAGGCCCACGTGTGAGAACTGTGTAAACCCAGAGAAGCTCTCTCACTGGAACGAACGACGCTGGTAAGGACGTCTTAGTTCTCTTCTGAGCAGTTTACGGAGCTCGATTCTTCCATCTCCTTAACACCATCATTACGCAGGCGGATGAAGAATGCGAAGGAAGTGACCACAGCCCAGGGAAGATACTGCTGAGGTAACACCCAGGCCCCGGGTGCTGGCAGCACCGCTAAGGAATAGCGCACCAGGTTACAGAATCGCCCAAGACTGCTTCCCCATCTGGGAAGCAGGCATGTTAGAAACACCTGACCTCCTACTTCACAGACGGCCGTGCCCGTCAGTAACTCAGGAAGAGTAATGACAGGACAGAGGCCACACATTCCGCAGATCAGCTGCAGGGATGGTGGGCTTTATGGAATATAAAATAATGATGGGAAAAATTAAAGTTTTTTGTTTACTTTCAAGAGGAGTAACTGAGACATAAAGAAAAGATGCATACAGGATTCTAGAGTAATTTATGGAAAAACAGAGGCAGGAACTCAGGTCTCTTGGCATCCAGCCTGCCGGCATGGCAGAGCCCTTGGGTGAGGATGATGCATGGTGGAAATGAGACAGAGGCCTCAGGAACCGGAGATGAAGCATGGTTAATTCTCTTGCCTCCCTCCTACAAAATGCACTCATAAGGGCTCCCTTTCTGGAACCTTCTGCTCTCTGGTAGAAACAGTTCTGGGCAGTTCTCTTGCCGATGAAGCTGCATGTGTCATGTACCAGCTGCCGGCAGCCCCAAGTGTAGGTCTGCTGTGGGTGCTGGTCCTGGTCACATGTCCTGGTCCTTGCTCTACCATGGACTGCTGTGTGACCTCAGGCAGGCTGCTCCACCTTAGCTCCTTCGTCTGTAAATTGGGGACAGCAGTCTGTCCCACTCACCTCCCAGAGGAACTAGGGGGCACATGTGAGGTGATGTGTCCGAGAAGGCCTGGAGACACCTGGTGGAGGGAAACCCGGCTCCGCCCCTCGGCCCCACTCACCTCTTTGACCCGGTGCAGCAGCGGCTGGAGCCAGTCCCTGTTCACCTCACAGTGGCTGTCAAGGAAAGTCAGAGTGGTGCCCTGGGCAACATCAGCACCCCGAATCCGGGACCGGACCAGACCTGCGGTTAGGGGCAAATGACCAAGGGGGTGCCACTGTCTCTCCATCATCCAGCAAGACCACGGAAGAGCCATCCAGCATTTGCCCAGAACACCCAAACTCACCCCCGACCCTGCACCCCCATACCACTCACACCTGAGCCCTGCCCAGCTGCAGGGACCTACCTTGCCGCTCGTTGTTGCGCAGGCATTTCACTTTGGGCAACTTGATGAGCTGTTTGCAGTCATCGGCTACAAAGACAAAAGGTTATGCCGAGTGAGTGAGCGTCTGGGACACGCTTGCATGATGCAACTGTGAACCTGAAGGGTAGGTAAGGCAGCCCCGCCCACTGTCCCCACCCCCAACTACCCAGCCGGGTCCTGCCTCCAGGGTGCTCCCAGGCTGTGGAGGGGCTGATGGATCACTGCTGTCACTAGACAAGGTGGGCCTCTTGGGTGCAGGTCAGTACACAGCAGCACCTGTGCACCTGCTTGAAAATACTCCGGGTGGGAAATTTTGACCTCGTCACCTGGGGATTTTCTCCTCTGGATAGGATTCAAAGCATGAGATGAGAGTCCTATTCACCTCGCTGGGTCTGGTAAAAACTGCTGGGCGGCCATGAATGGTCGAGACGGACTTTGGACTTTCTTTCAGAGCACGGAGACCCTCTCTGTGAAAGGATCAGCCCGGTGTGCCTGCTGTCACTCAGAGCCAGTTCACTTCTCTATGACGCAGGGAGAGGTGCTGGCGCCAGGGTGGGCAAGAGACTCCGCTCTAGGCATTTGTCCCAGGTGCCCCCTGGATTGCCTGCTGTCCCCTCAGTTTCTTGGCTCTGAACGCCATACCTTGGCCCCATCATTTTGGTGTCAGTTTATGTATTTGCATTAGCGAGGAAAGTCACACAATCAGATCTGTGCATCAGAAAGCTCACTCTGGAGGCCACAAGGAAGGCGGCCTCGTTGAGGCTATTGCATTTTATTGCATTAAAATGTTCACATATTTAATCCTTAAATAAACCATATATACTATCATCATCTCATTTTTATAGACAAGGAAACTGACGACATGAGGTTGATCATTTGCTCAAGGCACGTAGCCAGGGAGTGAGGAAGTCGCAAGGCTAGGATCTGAACCTAGGCAGTCTGGCCCCAGAGTCTGTGCTCTAATCACAAGGCTCTTCTGCTCCCAAGTGAATCCAGCAGCTGTCCCTTCTCCTGCCTCAGTGCCAGACTACCCCCACCACGGTGAGTGTCTCCTAATCTCCAAGATCCTCCTCACCAGGGAAGGAGAGCAGATCATTGAGTCCCAGAACTCAGAGTCCTGATCTCATTACTCTGGGCCTTATGCACAACCCACTTCTGCGTCACTCCCAGAGGTTCCAAGGCTGTGCCACCAGCTATGGGTTCCAGCTTTGTACAGCAGACCCCAGCGTGGCAGCAGCTCCCTGCGCCCAGCTTCCAGCATCAGTCTTGGTGGGGGTGGGCTCCACTCTGCCGGACTCCGAGCTGTCTCCAGTGGGCACACTGTTTCCCCTGTTTTATCATCAGGGAGAGGCTGTCCTGTCTGGATATGGCTGACTGCACGGGACTGCACCAGGCTGCTGGGATGCTGGCTCTTGGGGGACGTGTCAGCACTATTAACACTTGAATTGGACAATGCTTCTACCATCATTGTGCCTTTCAACTTTAACATACGGATGTCTGGAAACACCCCCATGTTTTTCTCTGGAGAGTGCACCTGGGGTGTGAATTAGGTTGGGACCCAGGTTCTCTGACAGAAGGATTGGGGGACACAAGGTAGGAGACAGTAATGAGCAGCATGTTGGGAGACAGAAGGCAGCCATGCACTGTGTCAGGGATAGGGCATGGGAGGTCCCCTGGGGGTCCCAAAGACAGGGCCCATGTGGACCTCTCCAGGAATGGCAGAGAGAGGGCATGTTAGCCTCAGCTCAGACTGCAGATTATTGCAGCATAAGAAATAAGAATCTCTAGTGGTGGGCTTTGCTTCTGGGTTTTGGGTCCCAGTGCGGATCCTTTGAACGTTCAGTGTCTTTTCCCATGACCAGGAATGTAGGTCAGGGGAAATGACATATGTTCATGTGCATGCCATGTATGCTTGCACATATATGTGCACACATACTTGCATAGCCAAGTGTGCATGAATCCACATGCATATACTCATGCACTAACCAAATCAAGAATCTACTAAATTTAGCTGGTTAGGTCCTCAGAGATTCACAGCACAGAACCCAAGAAATTATTTTTTAAAAGTAAAGATTCTCTCCTTCTTGAGCCCAGCCATGGACACTCGAAGTCTTCCATCCCTATTACAAACCTAGGCCTTCCTCCATCCCCAGGAAACCAGTGCACTCACCTCTGCCTGTTCCACAGGGGCAGGGGACAGACACTGGCGCCTAAAGAGCAAGTGAGCAACGTTACTTACGGTCATTGCTGAAGTCATCCACTAATATGATTTCCTGGATCAGATGCATAGGGGTGCGGTTTAACACGCTGTGAGATCAAAGAGAAGAAATCATTATGGCTTCTAGTGGCAAAATCTATATGTTAACCTGAGTTTTAAACAGACACTGTTGCATTTGAGGAATGAAAACTCAGAGCCACCACAGGGCTTGTCCAGTCACGCTGTCCATCTGTGAGCTGGCAGGGTGTAGTTCCGCCTTCTCTTAGTGAATGCCACTACCAGCCACCTGGCCACCCACACAGAAACCCAGGAGACATCCTAATCCCCCTCTGGTTCCCTTAAACCCCAAAGCAAATCAGTGAACAAGACTGGCTAGTATCATTTGAAAATGTCATTCCAGCCACTTACACCTCTGCCACCTCTGCCCTGATTCAACCTCTTTTGCCTGGTTTACTGCAATAGCCTCGACCTGCCCCGGCCCCTCCCAGGCCGCCTTCCTTTGGCCTCCAGAGTGAGCTTTCTGCTGCACAAATTTGATTGTGTGACTTTCCTCACTAATGCAAATAAATTGACACCCCCAGTGGCTCCTCCTTTCTCCATTTCAGTCCCCAGCACACTCCTAAGGCCTTTGCAGCATGAACCTGGCCCGTGTCCCCTCACCCCCACCCCGCTCCACGCCAGTGCCGCTGTCTGAAGACTTCCTACTCATTCTTAACCGAGAGCCTTTCTCCTGCTGCTGCCACCGCTCGAAATGCCCCACGCTGCCCACAAGGGCCAGTTCAAATGTCACTTCCTCTCTAACAGCTTTCCAACCCACTTAGTGAGAATTAATTACTTCCTCCTCTGGGATCCCTCAGCAGTTTGTATCTGATCCTACTGCTTTTCTCACTTCCTGAGCCTGAAGGTTGGCTGGTTTTGTACCTCACCCGCCTGTTGTTCCCGCTAGAGCAGTGGTCCCCAACCTTTTTGCCTTTTTGGCACCAGGGACTGGTTTCACGGAAGACAATTTTTCCACAGATCGGGTGATGGGGGGAGGGATGATTTTGGGATGATTCAAACAAACACATTACATTTATTGTGCACTTTATTTCTATTATTACATTGTAATATCTAAGGAAATAATTATACAACTCATCTTAATGCACAATCAGTGGGAGCCCTGAGCTTGTTTTCCTGCAACTAGATGGTCCCATCTGGGGGTGATGGGAGACAGCGACACCCAAAGTGTGTTGCTTATGTCCAGTCTACTCCGTAATCTCATTTTGGTTGCTGTCACAGCAGAAAACTTGGCTTCACAAAGACAGGATGTTGGAAATGGAAGCAGGCTTTTCATTGCTTTTGTGGCAATCTCAGGATATTCTACCTTGACTTTAATCCAGAATGTATGGAGATTTGAAGTTGTCTCAGACATACTTTTAAGGCTACTATCATTTGTGATCTCAAGCAGTTGATCCTCTTCTAGCACGGACAAAGTCGATTCAGCTGGCTTATTCACACATGGGTCAAGGATCCATTCCTTCCCTGTTCAGGGGTCCTTTGTGGTTGGGAAGTAATGCTCACACTGTTTTGAAAGCTGAGAGAGGTGATCGTGCACCAGCTGGGAGAAAGAAGGCCCTGGCTCAGTCTCTTTCAAAATCTCTGCTAATGTTTGAAACATGTCAAAAAAATCCCAATGTTCACTCATCACCCCCATAATTCCAGTTTGGCTTTGAATGCAGCCACTTCATCTGCCAACTTGAACACAGTTGTCGTTCTCCCCTGAAGTGACAGATTGAGTTCGTTGAGCAGGTTGAACATGTAACACAAGTAAGCAAGTTTTGTGACTCATTCTGTGTCGCTGAAATGTGCTGCCGGTGGTGACTGTTTTTCTAAAAGAAATCTCTGGAGCAGCTCTCGTAACTCAAAAACTCTGGCCAGTGATCCACCTTTAGAAAGCCATCTCGCTTCTGTGTATAAGGGAAGACGTGTGTGCTCTGTGTCCATCTCCTCCCAGAGTTATGCAAACAGACATGAGTTAAGAGCATGTACTTTAATGTGGTTGATAATTTTAATCACATCCTGCAAAACGTTGTTTAGTTCAGGTGACATTTTTCGGCTATCCAGCATTTCTCTATGGATGACACCGTGCGTAGACTCACATGCAGAAGTGACCTCCTTGACCCAAGTAGTGAAACCAGAAAGCCGTCCAGTCATGGCAGCTGCTCCATCCGTGCATATACTGACACACAATGACCAATTCAGTTTTCCTGATGTGTAATCATTCAAAGACTTGAACAGGTCTGCAGCTGTGGCGTTGGTTGGCAACAAAAGTGCACATAACATATCCTCATGCACATCCTCCTGAAAAATATATTGCATAAAACAAGCATTGCTGCCTTGTTGTCAACATCGGCAGACTCGTCAATCTGGATTGTGTACCATAGTGACTCATTAATGCTCTCTAACAATTGTGCCTCAGCATCCTCTGCTATTTCATCAATTCACCTAGTTATGGTGCTAGCGGGAAGAGGAACACGTGCCACCTTTTGAACTGCAGCCTCTCCTAATTGTTCATGGCAAATGTCCTTAGCTGCAGGCAGGTTCAACTCTTCCCCAATAGTAAAGGGCTTCTTAGCTTTAGCAATGCGGTTAGCCACTAAGCGGGATGCTCTCAGTGTAGACACATTTGATGAAATGGCAGCCTTCAATAATTGCTTCTGTTTCTCGTGTTCATGTTTTTTTCTTTTGAAAAACTCCAAAGGCTTGTCTGTTAATGGAGGGTGCTTGGTCTCCAAGTTGCGAAGCAGTTTCGAAGGTTTCATGGCTTCGTTGGATAGCTGGTCACCACATAGTATACAAAGTGGGTTTGGAAAATGTGACTCACCTGTTGCAATGAGCCCGTAACTTAAATATGACTCTTGGTATTTTCTTTCAAATGCAGCTTTCATTTTGTTGGCAGTCTTAGAGTCTTCTGCTGTCTCATCACTGGGTCTTTACCCCTTTTCAAAGAAGCTCTCCAGCGATGTTTGTTTTTTACTCATTTTTGCTGGGGTTAGCTTGTGGGCTTACCAAAACTGACTAACTGTGCAGTGCAGCAAAGAGGTGTGGATGGACGTGGGCTGAATAAGTGCTAGAATCTGACTTAAAGTCTGCCGCCAGATGCAGCTTCACAATTAAAGATGCTCACTTGCCACTATAAAGCCTGACACCAGATGCAGCTTAATTGTCACTTGCCACTCACTGATAGGGTTTTGATATGAGCCTGCAAGCAATTGATTTATTATGGTCTCTGTGAAGGCAAACCTCTCTGCTAATGATAATCTGCATTTGCAGCTGCTCCCCAGCGCTAGCATCACCGCCTCAGCTCCACCTCAGATCAGGCATTAGATTCTCATAAGGAGCGCACAACCTAGATCCCTCGCATGCCCAGTTTACAGTAGAGTTTGTGCTCCTGTGAGAATCTAATGTCTCTGCTGATGTGACAGGAGGCGGAGCTCGGGTGGTGATGCCATCGAGGGGGAGCAGCTGTAAATACAGATGAAGCTTTGCTCGCTGATCCACTGCTCACCTCCTGCTGTGCAGCCCGATTCCTAACAGGCTACAGACCAGTACTGGTCCGTGCCTGGGAGCTGGGGATCGCAGCACTAAATGGTAACATCCCAGGGCAGATCCTTGTCAACTGCTCTCCGTCTTGTCAGAGTCCAGCATGCCTTGGCCCATCATCACTCCTTTGAGGGATGTTCACGGCACGCCTGTGTGCTGGCACCGGGCATGTGACGGTGAACAGAGGAGAATGAGTTCTGCTTTCCCGAAGCTTGTGGTCTAGCAGCTACTTCCTACAAGCTGTGTAACCTCAGGCAAGTTACTTTACAGCTCTGTGCAGCAAAGTATCCCATCTATAAACCAGGGATGATCATAGTAGTACCTACTTTACATTGCTGTTGAGAAAATTAAAGGAGAAAATGCATATAAAATATTTAGCATATTTGGCACTACGTGATGATAAATGATAGGAAGTATTACTATTTAATATTTTCTGCATCATTAATGATTTTTGAATTGAACACACTTCAGTCGCCCCTCCTGTGCTGTGGGTCTCTACCCAGGAGCAAGGATTGGGTTTCAGTGTTAACTCCGGGTCCCACTCCTGTTTGAGAAGGCTGGATCCTGCTTCTCCTGAAAACCTCCAAACCACATAGTTTCTCAGAAACCTGTCGGGGCCACACCAGCCACCAGGGGATGCCCAGAGCCCCATGTGTGTTGGAAACGGGTTCAGAGCGGGCGCTGGCAGAGGTTCTATGAACCACCCTCTCAGGAGAACTATGTTTCTGGTGAGTCACCCTTTCTATGCAGGATGCAGACTCTCCTGGAAGGGAACTTTGCCTGGGGCTACCGTATTTATGAAGCCTTAATTCTCACCATGACAACTAGTATAAGGTGGAGAGAGGAACCCCAACACAAAGCCCACTGTCACTGTCTGCTGGGAGCTGGGGTCGGGGAGGAGAAGAAGGCTACGGCCTCCACCAGAGGGTGTGGGAGGGGACCGTTCACTACGAGAGTCCCACAGAAAACACACACAAACACAGCAACCAGCCCTCTAATCAGGGAGGGAGGCAGGAGAGAGCAGAAAACCTGCTGGAAGAATAACCTCTAATGAGATTTGATTACGGCTGTAGCTTCTGCATTCGATTCCCCCAAATCCCTGCCGGCTCTTTGAAATTCAAGAGTTCTCTTCTGTGAACATCAAAAGGTAAATCTCGTGCGGCTCTGCGCTGGTTGAACTGAGAGATGATTAGCGAATAAAAAACGTCCAGGGTTTAAAACAGAAAAGAAAAAAAAAAAAGAAATCGTCAGCAGTAAGTGCTAATTAGACCATTTCCTGGTAACACCTGGCTTGTTTTTGTACCTCTAATCAGAGCAATTGGCGTGGTGGCAGGGTCCCCTTAAAGGTGGCTCAGGGCAGGGAGGGCCTGGGATGGGCTTATGCTCTGGGTACCTGGGTGGTTGGAGGAGGAGAAGGTTCAGTCCAGCTCATGGCACCTGGCCTGGCCCAGATGGTCCTCCAGGGCCCTCTCTTGTGCACACTCAGCCCCCAAACCCTGGTAGCTGG